TGCTCTGGTTACTAGTCCTTTTGCATCATCACCTCATCGGCTAAAATTAGAAGACTTAAGCAAGGCCCGTCGGACTGCTTGGGGTGGGTTTGCCAAGTCTTTTAAACCCATTTCGTAGACTTCAAAACTTCTATTTACATTTTTATCTACATCGTGGAGTGCTAGATGGTTGCTTTTGACTTATATAACATTATGTGCCTTTAATTTAGAAATTATAGGCACATAATATTAAGCTACCAAGTGCATTTAGGTGTCATTTCAAATTATTTCCAAGTACGAAAATGCAATTATAACAAAAACTTACTTTATTTACTTTTGTGGAAAGAAAAAAAGACGGATCAGTGCATTAGACTTATGCCACTGCAAGGCTTAGGAGGGTTCAAATGTACATCCTTACCTTGCATGTGAAGAGGTTGGTTCCACAACTCGAACACTTGTAACTCATTGTTTAAATAGATCGATTTTGTTGAAAAATGCAGAATATGACAATAAATCCAGCTTACTAAATGTGAAATATTTAATTACTCGAATGTATCAATAGAATCATTTGATTCTTTCAACTAATGATTCGAAACAAAATCAATTTTTTGGGCACAATTAGAATTTGTATTCTCAAATGATATCAAAGGGATTTGCCGTCATTGTGGAAATTCTATTTTCTCTACGATTAATATTTTTCTCTCTTGTGAAAAGCTACAATGCAATATCTGTATTCGATACATAGCAGCTACGGATATGCGTCCGATATGGCGGAAAATTATCGGATATGTACCATACATATCCAATAATTCATAAAATAAATTTTGATTTTAGATACGCTTGCGATATGCATGGGATACACGTAGGATATATCTATGGATACAGCTAGGGTTTACGTGTAATTTTTTAATTTCAAAAACAAGAGTAAATGAGCAAAATAATATGGGTATTTATGTAAATTACAAATCACTGGGGCGTTACCAGCAAAAACAAAAAAATCAACGCAATAAAATGACATCCAAAAACTCGATCAGACCAAACCACCCCTCTCTCTCCTCTCTGTTACTGCTCATATCAACAACTAGGGTTCCTATCAGAGTAGACAAAATGTGTGTTCTCTCTCCCTCCCTCTCTCTCATCTGCTCTGTTACTGCTGATGTCTACGATTAGGCTTGAAGGTCAATTGACTTTCATACGAAATGGAAAAAATAAAATCCGACCTAAACCTCCTCCCTCTATCTCTCTCTCAGCCTTTGATTCCCTTTTCTTACTATTCACATTGGTGATTAGAGTTCAATATACTTGAAGTTTTGTTATTATGGTTTAATATACCCACCTGACTTGCAATTCGTCAATACTCACTAGAGATCACTGCTGGATGCGATTGCAGGTCATCAACCATCGCCTTCACTTCGCCATGCCTACAATCTCCATTACTGATACTGATCTACCGATTTGCTGCTTTTTCTTTTTTTTTTTTTTGGATCGAAATATTGCATTTTGCTTTTTTACTTATTTCACTTTTCGCCAAATGACTTACTTTGTTTCTGTTGTTGCTGTGTTGAGCCCAAATTGCCATGTTGTTGCTGTGATTGTTGACACTGTTGCTTTTTCCTGTTATGGCTGTGTTGCTTTGTTCCGGTTGTGGCTGTGTTGCTTTGCTGCTAAATAGTGTTACTGTTTTGTTGCCTTTCTGTGAAATTGTAGTTGGGTTCTGTAAGAATGGATTTACTTTGCCCTCATTTTGCTGAAAACTATAGAATTAACATTTGTTTTATAATTTTGATAATTATTGGAATTAGAAAAATTAGAAAAAAAATTCTATCATAGTCGTATTCTCGCCGTACCCGTATCTTTTTTTTTCTTAGGTTTTTTCGTATCGTCATATCCGTATTGGTGCTTTATAGGAGAAACGATATAAACACAATAATTCTTGACTGTACAAGGGTTAAGAGAAACACAACTTGCATCTATTATCCCATCACCACATCTTTCTTCTCCCCCTCTTCCTTTATTCCTTTTTTTCCCCTCATCCACAAACCTTACAAGCCATTCCTCTTATTTCCCTTTCATATTAGGGCAATCCCAAGATTCCCAAAAAGAGCAAGGTCACCACTGAAGAAAAAGTAGGCATTCAAACAACTCACATGGATAATGGCAACAAAAAACATAACAGATCTTGAAAGTAAGGGCAGATCGCCCTACTAACTTTAGAAAATCTTATGTATCTTAATCTTGTTCCACCATCTGTTCCATTAAAACTTCTTGTCCCCATAGTTCACATTTTAACCAATGAATTTTTCCTCTGATTACATGATTTCATTTTTCGTATTATGGAAAAATAAGACATCTAAAAGCTGAAAACTCACAGGTTGCTCCTACGTTTATAGGCAAACTTCACTTTAACCCCCTCGTGGTTAGGCCCTTATGCACAATACTCCCCCTCACATTTAAAAATAGGCACATAACCATCAGGTGATCTGTAGACTAAAACACTAATAACACTCCTAAGATGTCTTTAATACCCTTTGCTCCATATCCTCTTCTTCACTACATACACCAACAATGTTGCAACCCTTACCAGCTGCACCCCATATTCACCACCACCACTGCCCACCCCTCTATCTGCAATCAACCACTGCTGCCACGCCCACCAGCTGCAACCCACATACACCAGCACAACTGCCAGACCCTCTGCAACACTCCACCACTGCAACTCCCCCAGATCTATTACTAATCACTAATCTTCCACTCCATTCCAACCACAGCAACCCATCACTCCCGCCATCATTACAAATTCGACAATCGATGAATTGAATTACACTTAGCTCAAACATCATTCAATAATAGAAGTACAAAATTTGGATTGGAGAGAGCCGAAGGAGTCCCTTGGTTTAGATGTCAAATTGCTGATCAAATTGAATTATGCGATGAGCAAGGATCAAAATATCATTTCAAAACGTTCAAAACATCCAAAACGTTTTCGTTTCTAAGGAGACTGAAATGATTCAATGATGGAATTGAAATTTTAATTCTTCGAGGTGTTCCATAATGTTTCAAAATGTTTTGTTATATTTCAATGCATTTGCACAATAATTTTAGAATATTTCAACATATTTTGGTATATTTCAATCAATGTTTTGAAAACATAATACTTAATTTTTTTTTTTCATTCTATTTTTGAAACGGGTCGAAACATTTCCGTTTCCTAAGTGACCGAAACAATCCAACAAAACGAAATTTTAATCCTTAGCGATAAGGAATCAGAGAATCAAAGGATTTCAATACCCATAATAAATTGTTAATGTAGCTTTTTTGGGGTATTTTTTCCAGCAAAGTTGGGGCTCTGCTAGTGCCAACCCATTGTAGTGGATATTAGCATTCCCCAGGTACATGTATATGCATTCATTATATGTATACTTGGGTTTATCATGCTTGAATCTTGATTGAACCACATCGCTTAAGGCAGCCCATGCATTATGGACAATGGACATTAGAACAAATGGGTTAGACAGAGTAAAAAAATAAGGTGGAAATTATAATGTCACATTCTCTAAGAACTCGGATAAGTCGTACTGGTGAGGTGATGAATGCAAAAAAGTAAAATGTTTGCAGTTAAATAAAGACCAGTAATGAAACTCATTACTCAAATGAATTAAATCTTACGCTATTACATGCATGTGTCGAAGAAACAAAAAGTAAAAATTACTCTTAAATAGAAGTAGGACGCTATTAATCAATTTCTCTAAGACAAATATTCTAGAGCTTTGTTTCCCTGGTTGAGCGTAGAAGGATCAAGGGTAAATATCACAATTACTCCTTAATGGTCCATGAACTGTCAATCTATTAATTTCGTGTCAGTAAAATCTTTATGTCCATTTCACTTGTTAGAACAAATAGAGGCAAGCCAAGTGTTGTCGTGGTCGTCCACATCATGTGCCTCCATTTTTTTTAAAGGGTAAAATAGATAGAAAGACTTTCTTGAGACTTGACCAATAGTTGAGGGACTAAATTCAGACAATTGAAAGTTCAAGGACCATTTTAAAACAAGAGGCAAAGTCTACAAACTAATCATGATATTTACCCAACAAGGATCAATGTATCAAAATATGCGAAAAAACTTGAGGAAATACGTACTTGAGCTTTGCCATTGTGTTCTCCACCAAAGCATGATGGAATAGAATGCCAAAAGAAGAGCAATGCCAGCCATTATTACAGCCAGACCAATTATATCTCGACCCAATATTAAGATCAACCAGCATCCCCATATCACAAACACCACAAGTGGAGAAATAACAATCATCCATGCTGATATAGACAGGAAACCACATAATAATCCCAGCTGAGGTCCTTGAAAGAAATCTGGCCATTTTCTAGCAAAGATCCAACTGAAAAAGCAAGCAGGCAGAGAACAACCAAATAATCAAAAGGGAATAATCAGATTACCATCTTTGACATTACTAGCTCATTACAGAGGACATAAGGACAAGTGATATTCCTATTTTGAAGAAAAAACAATATGAATTACATTTTTGTCGTGGATGAAAATTTACAAGGTGGCCAGTTATCAGGCTAATACTGCATTCACCAGAACCGAAACATTAAAAGAAAATGAAGAAGAGAAAGGAAGGTAAATCAGGTGCAGCAGCAATAAACTGGATATTACAACCCTCCTTTCTGAAGCCAGATGACATCACAATCAAATGCAGATCTTAAAGTATAACATTATTCTGCACATAAGGGAAGAAATGAAATAATAATACAGGATATAAAGCACTTAATCATGACCCTCACCTATACATTATTAATCAGCCAAATAAATGAAATAAACTATTGACCAATTCACAACTTAATAGACAAAAACAAATATAAGAAAAAATTATATGCACTACTAATCAACAACATGAGACAGCAGAGCCAACATTTGCTCCTATTCCAAAAGAATAGAGAAAGGAGCACTCATTTAAAGTCCATAATTAATTAAATATACACAAAGACGCTGAAATAAAGCATACCCAGTACACACGACTCCCGCCATTGTGGAGTTTGAGAAGGGTTAGATGTATGCAGTCTTACCCCTGTAAGGAGAGAGACTATTTCTGTGACTCGAACCCGTGGCCTACAGGTCACAATAGGACAACCTTACCGTTGTGAACACCTGCCCTCAAACACCAACATATCAAACAGATTTTAAAAAAAAAAAACTCAAAGAAGTTATACAGAATTATGAGACAAGGGTTGTGAAGGGGGAAAAAGACACAAACCACCCCTTGAGTGTCTTTATTGGGGTCAGTACATTGACAAAGGACAAGTGCAATTTTGTAATTTATACTACAAGGGTAAAAACGAGATATAGTAAAAATTTGAACTTCTTTTTGGAACTAATTACAAAAAGTAATACTTGATTGTTCAAATATAAAATTGATAGGACTGAATTAATTTTTGGAACAAAAAGAAGACTCATGGTGTTTTTCCTTTTAATATTTGGATAGAGGTATTCAATATACTCAAGTTAGGGTTAGGCAAAAAAAAAAAAAAATCAACCTAATTTTAATTGAGATAGAACTTTGGTTAGGGTCTCTAGTTCGAATTGAACCCGATTTCTTCTCTAAAACAATGTATATATGAGCAGTGATCAGAATAGGTCCAAATGTCAATCTCACATCATGTCGACACCTTTCTCGCCCACCTATCTTTTGTCTTTGTTTGTCTCTCTACATAAACCCCCATGCAATTCTCAAGTGGTGTTATATTTCTTAAATCGAAGAGGTTACTGCGACTAGTGAAGATGATCGTAAAGTTTAATCAGACGTTAGAGAAGGAACTTTTAGAGATAGAGAATAAAAATACTAAGCCTATCCCATCCCATGAACCTTTTCCAACTATGAGTTTCAAATGCTTTGTCTTCTACTAGATCCTAATTTTTAATTAAGAAAAGAAATAATAGATTGCAACCAAACCCTGAAGATGAATTGAGTGCTAATGGTGGGCACATCACTTACATTTGGCAAGAAAATATGCGTCTAAAAGTCTCTACCTCCGATCAGCTTCATACATATGAGTTTTACTTATTCGACCTTTTGTAAACAATTATTAATCACCAATGTGTGAACCTGTTAATTAGATATAAGACTGATTCTGTTGTTCAAGATATACCTTATGGCTATGGAAAGTACCTTATGTACATTACATATAGGCTATATATTCTAGATTCTAGAACTTGATTTATTGGGAAGAGGAGTAGGAGGCTAATTTCCTCTCTACTAAATGTCTTGTTAATTTGATTAGTTCGAATGTGCACCCCAATTGTGTAACTCAACTTCTACCGGTTTCAAAATTTTAAATATGAACAGTACTCTGATTGAAAAGTTCAGGTCAAAGGTTGGGTTCCGCTTTAGCGTTTATAATTTGGGTTGTAGAAGACCTCTCAACCCACTGGAGTTTTCACCCCTACCCTGGTCAAGAGGATTGAATGGTAACTAATGGTCTAACATACCAATAAAGCTTGAAAAAATAACATAAGAGGACTATCTCCCTAGGTGCAATCCATGTGGTGATCCACCACCAAAGGTTCTTACTCAAATTTACACAAGGTAGCATTTTTTCCCTTTTGTTCATTGAAGAGAGGGGTCATTCTTGTGCACAATGTCTAGCTTTAGTAATTATCACATATATACGGAGTGATCACAGCGTTCAAGAAAAATAAGCTTTCATCGAAAATAAACTTTGAATAGAAATGGCCATTACATTTTGTGGCCAGTTCATAGGGGATTAGTCATCCCCAAAGTAACATATGCAGCAAGGACAATGAAATTTATACAATTCTTGCTAAAAATGTGTTCGAGTGACAAGGAATCATCTGAAAACACATTAAAGCCCCCAAAAAGCATGTAGATAGGTCACAAACAATTTTATACTTTTCCAGTGCCGGTTGTCCTTTTAATTCTTTCCCAACACATTTCCCCATGTTATCCTTCAAGAATCTTTCATTATCTAAAATTTCAATGGCATTCCATACAAATTTATATATCTTCCTCAAAGATGCTAATTTGACATTAAATCCTTTTCGTGACTTAACAGATGTATTGCCCAAGTTCCCCACTAAGTTTCCAAAATAATTAAGCATTGAATTTTTTTTGAGCAGCAGAATACATCTATTAATAATAAAACTTTTGTGAAAAAAAGAGGATAATTAGGCATTGACTCCAAAAACATTTTTACACATTTCCTATACATTTTGAAGATTGGGTTCCTCCAATCCTTTTACAATGTCATTTCCTTTTCCTATACTATCCTGAGATGACTATTTCCCATGCCAATTTAAACAATAGAGCAGCATGGAAGAAAAAAGAACAAAAAACTATGTATCATTGCAAATTAGTCAATGCAGTGTATCTTTCATAGAACATTTGAACAACTACCCGTAATTGCAATAATTGGAACAACTAGGTGTTCTTCAACTACAAACAACACAGCTGCATCATCAAAATAAGATAAACTGGAAAAGATAATAAGAATCACCTATAAATCCTCCATGGCCGCCAATTCACTGCCCAGAGTATAGCAAAAGAAGCCGAACCAAAAACAAAGAACAGGGTCCCCGAAATTACACATGCCAATATAAAATCATGCTCGTCTCCTTCCATGGCTTCTTAGCCCCTTCTCTCTCTCAACTACACTACAACATCATTTCAATTAAACCCATTCCAAACAAATGATCAAATATATTTTTTCGTGGGTGAAAAACCGTAAGTAACATTAATCACAAAATTACCCCAATTTCGATTGTCACGAACACTGTTCACACCAAAGAAGAAGCACGAAATTGAAAGAGAAAGCACAAAAGTAGTAATTGTTGGTAAATATACAAATGGCCTTACCTACTTCACTGAACCGGTTCCGACTGCCCAGAACATGACAATGATTTATTAGGACAAAATTGAGTATGCATTCTCCATAGATTTCAGCTCCGAAACTAGGGTTTTCAGCTGATTGAAGAATCAAAATTGAGTGAAATTAGGGGTTTTCAGCATCAAAGAATTTAGAGAAAGGAAGAGAGCAATGGTTCTATCTATTTTGATGCGCTTCCGATTCTTTTTCACTTCAAGATAGAGGTTGAGAAAATTATTAAAACCCTACTCACTCCCACTGTCACAAGTAAAAAATGGGGAGCTCTTGAAATTAAGACGAGAGAGAGAGACGAAAGGTCAAGATGTGCGAGAGTAGATATAAATCTGTCGGACGTTAGTTGTTGTCAAATACTAAAATAATGGCAATATAGATCTGAGTGCCACGCTCCCATATTGCGCGTGGTTTTGTGGACCCATTACAACTCATTAGTTTGTTTACGGTGAGGTCTGGTCGAAGATAATGGTATCGAATTCAAATAAAATTGGAAAAATTATAATTGAAATATATATTATTTCTTTAATGAGTGGATCTGGTCGAAGATAATGGTATCGAATTCAAATAAAATTCAAAAAATTATAATTGAAATATATATATATTTTTTTAATGAGTGGATCCTATTAACTTTTTTAATGAGACTCACTCACCCAACACTCATCTAAGTGACAATATATATTTGGGTTTTAATTTTTGAGTTTTATTTAAGTTATGCAATATTCTCTTCACTCCACTCTTACCCCACACCTCTTGGAATCTTAGAGGAAGATTAAGGAAGGAAGAAAAGGAAGAAGGAGGTCACTAGAGCTTGGGTTCTTTCTTGAAATTTTGATTCAAGTAGGAATTTTCTTTCATTCTCTTACATTGAGGCTAGAGTTATAGATATATGTTTTCTTTAACTCTACATCATATTAATATGCTATGAAATCATGAATTCTTGATATTTTTACAAATGTTAGCATGTTGTAAACAATGGGATGGTTGGGCAATTATCAAAATTTTTTTCTCATATTCAAAACCCTAGATTTCAAGAGAAGTGGGTTTTTCTCTTGATTTTTCCTTTATTCTTGATTTCAAAACTTTAGTGTTTCATATTGAACAACACAATGGTATTTATGATGATCTCTTATTAATTTTTCTTAAATTGTTCCATTGTGAAATAAATATGGATTTGGATGTGAAAAATTGGGGATTTATAGAATTGAGTGTATTTGAGAAATTGTTAGTGATTATATCTCATGGAGGTGTTTGGATAACCATGGGTGGCCATTGACCGGGTAACGTAGAGTGGGTAGATGTGTGTGGTTCTTACTCCGTGTGGGTTTAAACTTTTCCTACCACTCGTAGTGGGGTTGGTACCTTGCGATGACCAAACCACTATTAGCTCACGGTTGCCGTGTCA